TTGCCTGCTGCAAAACATCCGGTGTTCGTACTCTGTGTTTTTGGCTCCGAACTTGGAGGCTGGCAAGGCAGAGACGAACTCACCCCACAAATGGGTCGCCTTCTGGTGTTCCCGTCGGGAGGAGGTTTCCTCCTTGGGCTCATCAAAAGGACATTGTGTGGCAGAAACAAGAAGCAATGTTGTCAACAACTTCCTGGCAGCGTTAATGTTCCTGACAGCCATTAAGTACTAATGACACTCCTTCGAGCGTCCCTGTCGGCCAGGGCCATTAAACCGACACACGCAGTTCAGTGAACGCCCTTCTCCGGGGTCAGAACTGTGTGGTCCAGGCTCACAGCTTTCTGCGGCTCTGGCTTAATCCTGGGGTGGACGCACCAGTCTCCGGTCTAAGGAAGGGGGTGTGATTTCTTTCTGTAGCATTGCGAGTGGAGGGTTTGACCGGGCTCTGGAAGGTAGATACTTTGTGTTGCTGGCGGGAGGTCTGTCCAAGGGCGCTTTCTGCAGATAAAGCTGAGGGCTTTTGTAGCTGCCACCTCTGGTTTCCAGTGGTCTGGGAGATCACAGCGGCCCCTGTTGCAGGGGTCCGGGTCTGTGTCTCACACGCCGATGAAGAGCATAAGCACGAGACATACTTTTAATGCATGGGATTACTTTATAAGCTCCTTTTGAAAAGAGACTCAGCTTTAGGGAAAGTTCTGTGACCAATAAAAACCTCATTCATTCATCAGGTTTAACTGAGCACCTACCAAGCAGGAGGCACCGTGGTGTGCACTGTGGGTCGTGCACCCCGTTCTTTTCCCTCGATTGGGATCTCCAAATTCCCGCCTGCCCTCACGGCCCAGGGGAGGGACAAGCAGAGATAAACCCACAGCCTGAAGCCCGAGACATCCTGGGTGACCGCCGGGAAGTTCGGGGCATGGTAACCAGATAACCAGTTAGAAGGAAACACACCTGGTTTTTCAAAGTCTCAAGGATTCTTTCACCTCTTTATTTTCACTAGAAGTTGAAATTTTCCAAATCTCTCCTTTGGTTTCCTTTTCTCTTCATTGTAGGGAATTGCATATACACTGTATGTTTTTCTCCATTATTCCAGATTTCGAGATCCAGAGTGAAAACGGGGAGAACTCCAATCAAGACCTATTTGAGGACGGGGAGTCGAGCGAGATCTTCTCAGAAATGCCGGAGGGGGAGGGCGTTCGGCGGCCCCACTGGCAAAGCGACTGTCAGAGGGGCTGTGGCTCCCGGGCGCCCCGGAGAAAGGCCCCAGGTGAGGACCGCGGGCGGCTGCCGGCGCAGCGCAGGGGGGCCGGGCAGCTCATCGGCCTGCAGGGCACCTACCTGGGCGAGAAGCCCTACGAGTGCCCCCAGTGCGGGAAGACCTTCAGCCGGAAGTCCCACCTAATCACGCATGAGCGGACCCACACGGGAGAGAAGTACTACAAATGCGACGAGTGTGGGAAAAGCTTTAGTGACGGCTCCAACTTCAGCCGACACCAAACGACTCACACCGGGGAGAAGCCTTATAAGTGCAGGGACTGTGGGAAAAGCTTTAGCCGGAGCGCCAACCTCATAACCCACCAGAGGATCCACACGGGCGAAAAGCCCTTCCAGTGCGCCGAGTGTGGCAAGAGTTTCAGCAGGAGCCCCAACCTCATCGCGCACCAGCGAACGCACACGGGGGAGAAGCCGTACTCGTGCCCGGAGTGCGGCAAGAGCTTCGGCAATCGGTCCAGCCTTAATACGCATCAGGGAATCCACACCGGAGAGAAGCCCTACGAATGTAAAGAATGCGGCGAAAGCTTTAGCTACAACTCCAACCTGATCAGACACCAGAGGATCCACACGGGGGAGAAGCCGTACAAATGCCCCGACTGCGGGCAGCGGTTCAGCCAGAGCTCAGCCCTCATCACCCACCGGAGGACGCACACGGGGGAGAAGCCCTACCAGTGCAGCGAGTGTGGGAAAAGCTTCAGCCGCAGCTCCAACCTGGCCACGCACCGCAGAACCCACCTGGTGGAGAAGCCCTACAAGTGCGGGGAGTGCGGCAAGAGCTTCAGCCAGAGCTCCAGCCTGATCGCCCACCAGGGCATGCACACGGGCGAGAAGCCCTACGAGTGCCTGACCTGCGGGGAGAGCTTCAGCTGGAGCTCCAACCTCATCAAGCACCAGCGGATCCACACGGGCGAGAAGCCCTACAAGTGCGGCGAGTGCGGGAAGAGCTTCAGCCAGCGCTCCCAGCTGGTGGTGCACCAGCGGACCCACACGGGCGAGAAGCCCTACGAGTGCCTCATGTGCGGCAAGAGCTTCAGCCGAGGCTCCATCCTGGTCATGCACCAGAGAGCCCACCTGGGGGACAAACCCTACCGGTGCCCCGAGTGTGGGAAGGGCTTTAGCTGGAATTCGGTTCTCATCATACACCAGCGGATCCACACGGGGGAGAAGCCCTACAAGTGCCCCGAGTGTGGCAAAGGCTTCAGCAACAGCTCCAACTTCATTACACACCAGAGGACTCACATGAAAGAGAAACTCTACTGATGTGACGAGGAGGAACAGCGAGGGGCCGGCCCCGGGGAGGGGACTGTCACCGTGCACAGTGCCCCCACGTGGGACGTCTCATTGGAGAGAAGAGCCCTGCTTCCTGAGTGGCCTTCGGGGGTTTGTGCCAGAGTCACCTGCTCGTCCGTCCTCATTCCTCGGACCCCCCCACCCCACCCCCGGCACAGAGGGCGGAGCCACACCCCGAGAACAGTTGGGCTGGGAGGTCGCAGAGCTGGGTCCTCTTTCGTCTCACAGTCTCACGGCTTGACTGGCTCCCTCTAGTGGCCCCTCTGTGCCCAGTTCCTCTGTGGTGGGGCGGGGTGGTGGTGGAAGCCCACCCCCACCCACCCAGTCCTCAGAGCAGTGCTGGCCATCTGCTGGTGCAGCCGGGTGGGCGGGCTGCAGCCGGGTGGGCTGAGGGGCCTGCAGCCCGAGCTGTGAGCATTCCCGGCCCCTTGCCCGTGTCGGCACCAGCTCCCTCCCGGCTCTGCCCTGGGCTTTGATTTCAGGTCAAGGCGGGGAGACGTCTCCAGTTCTGAGTCACCACGTGAGGGTCAAGTCCTTTTTTCTGGTTAGTGCCGGAAACACCGACCACGGGGTAGGCGCTGGAACCAGTGTCCCGGCAGCCTTCCCACCGGCGGTAGGGCAGGCAGGCCTGCCAGGGGAGGCACAGACGGGGAGGTTGACGGTTGCTGGTCTGCTGTTGTCCTGTGGCAAGTCGGCTGCCGGGAGCACGCTCGAGTTTTTGTGGGGCTTGGTTTTTTGTTTAGTGTGAAGGCAGAGACCCCCAGCTGTGTGCCGCTGGGGGGTGGCAGCTTCTCCCTCAGCGGGGGAAGAACCCCCCCCCCCGGCTCCCTCACCTGCAGGGTGGGCCGGGTCTTCCCCCCCACAGACACCGCCCTCCATAACCATTACTCTGCGCACCTAGCGGTTCCCTTCATTTTTTTTTTTTAAATCTTACGCGCACAGAACTAGAATTCTGTCTGGTAGCTTTTGCACGACGGTCATTTCTAAGGAAGTCTTGGTTTTGAGGCCACATCACCTGTCCCCAGGGCAGCTCTGGGCCTGAATCAGGAGCTGTCCGTCCTACGGAGGTCACCCTTGGTCTCAGGGTGCCAGCAGGGCTTTGTTGGTGGGACCGTGAGCCTCCAAACAGTGCAGGTGGCCCCGAGAGCGGGTGGAGGGGTTTGCTGTGGAGAGAGAGTGTAGCTATGGCGTTTCTGGAGAATGTCAAACTGCCTCTTTCTGCCCCGGGCCTGCGCTCAGCGGGGGCCCGGGTTCTCACAGGGTGGGTGCTCAGTGCTCCCTAATAAAGTAGAGTCTATTCTTCTCCTGACTCTGTTGTTTATTTATTTACTAACTTATTTTTTATCCTCACCTGAGGACATACCTACTGATCATAGAGGACACGGCAGGGCGAGGGGGAGGAACACCGACCGGCTGCCCCCCCCCCCAGCACACCCGGACCCGCCCCCCAGGCGCGTGCCTGACCGTGTGGTGCACAGACAGTGCTCCAATGCAGCCGGGCCAGCCAGGGCCAGCCAGGGCCGGACTTGTCTTTCAATGTGTGTCAGAAACCTGAACTTGACTGTTGCTAACAAACCCACACCTGGCTTCCCCGCCGCCCCCCTCCTGCTCTGGGCTGGAAATGGCCTACGACCTTCGGGGGGGGCATCAGTTGTTTCAAAGGGCACGCCCCGGGGAGCCCAGACCCGTGTGCGTGCCCGGCGCTCAGGCCTCCCCAGGGCCCCGTGCCAGCCCTGCCCCGTCCGCCAGCCCGGACTCGGGGCGGCAGCCTCAGCCGAGGCGCCGGGTGGCCTCCTGACCCATCTCCGTGCAGAGTCGACTGAATCGCACGCGAGGAGGGGGTTCGGACCTAGGCCGTGGCCGTGGCCCGGCCACACCACGCGATTCTAGGAGACCCCATCGCTGATTCTGTCCTTGTGCTAGGTACGGCGGGAAGGCCGAGAACAGAAGTCCCGTGACCCGCCTTTACCAAGTTTCACTAGAAGAAAGTTTCCCATCAATTCCTCCAAGAGGACTCCCTCCCTTTTTGTGGTGGCCCCGCCCACCACACCCCGCCCTCTCCACCTGCAGTGCCTGAGCCCTGCCTCACGCTCCTCCAGGAGTTCTCCCCCGCCCGCCTCGTCTTCTGTTCTGGATATTCACACCCACACTCAGGCCCCGGCTCTGTCTCCAGCACGCAGCTCAGGGCGTGGGATGAGACAGGAGCTCAGTAAACCCCTGCCAGCTGAGTTCTCCTCATGGACACAGATTCAAGGTGCAAGACGCAGGTGGAGCCCAAAATTCCGACCTGGAGAATGGACTAGGTTTCCTACACCTTCCCTCGGTGAGAAGGTACACGTAAGCTGGCTTTGCCTTCAGTGCCCTCCCCTAAGTTGCGATCTTCTGCTATGGGTGAATGGAGACAAAGCTGAAACATTTATAAAACAGCCAACATCCCAGTGAAACAACTTGTATTTTTGAAATGTCACAGGTCACCAAAACCCGCTCCGCCAGGTGGTGGTGCTACGACAGGCCATGCCACAGAGGAGAGACCCGAACAGAGCCAGGACTTGGGTCCTGGTCCGCCCGGCTCCAACACGAGTGTCTCCATCAGGGGGTCACCTGAGCCTCCCAACCAGACAGAGCACAGGGAGCCGCGCTGCGTGGGGGTGGGCTGCAGGGTCGGCACGCAGGGAAGGACGACGGTGCAGGCCAGCGCGACATGGGATGCCTCCCACGGCCGGCCGGGACGGCGTCTGTGGTGCCAAGAGCCTGTGGGTTCAAACCTGCTGGAAGCAGCAGGGTCCTGTCGCCCCCGAGGGCCCGGACCCGAGAGCAGCCAGGTACAGACCTTTGCAGCAAGCACCCTACCCGGTGCTTTTCTATAGACTCCCCCTAACTTCCCCAGCACCCCCCGAGGTCGTTACTGCTACTCTCATTTCAGCAACCCGGACGCCCGAGCCCCGAATCAGCCCCCTCGGGGTGCGCACGGCACTGTCTCCCCGGAGGCCCCGCGGGAGGGCTGGCGTCAGTGGGGGGCGCGGAGGTCCACCCAGTCCCACACGTGCAGAGAGGCGTCGCTCGCTGCTGACAACAAGGTCCTTGGCTTGCAGGGGTGCCAGGTGTGGGTGGTGACCCGAGGGGCGGGGCCTGCCCCGCCGCCGTCCAGGAAGACGTGGCCTCTGTGAGTGAAGACTGGGTCTGCTCGGCCCTGCGATCCGTCCCAGGACGTGACGTCATGCACCTGCACTGTCCCGTCAAAGCCTGAGGAGGAAGGAGAAGTGAGAACGCCGGCAAGGACACGCCATCTCTGACGTGGCGTCTCTGACCCGCGCCACAGAACCACAGCAGGCCCTGGGGGAGGGGTCCGGCAGGAAACGAGGTCCCCGACGGCCAACCAGGGGTGCGGATACCGCCCTCTGCCGGCAGCTGCCGACCCCCGACCCCGGGGGTGGGTGGGGACGGAGACCTGCGGGCGTCGCTCATGTGCCAGGCCTGAGGCCGACCCCCGACCCCGGGGGTGGGTGGGGACGGAGACCTGCTGGCGTCGCTCACGTGCCAGGCCTGAGGCCGACCCCGGACACACGTTCTCTCTCACTTTCCACAACTGTACGGAGGAGGTGTGAGCACTCGCCCTGGGAGCCCGAGGCTTAAGAGACTTTTCCAAGCCTTTCCCACCTGCCCCATGTTCTCCGTCTCCCCCTGCCGGGGGAGGGGCAGCCTGCGGAGGAACGTCCTCAGCGCACCCCCCCACCCCCTGCCCTGGCTCTACCCTCGCTCACCCCCCCCCGCCCCGCCCCCCGCTGTCCTGCGAGAGGCCGGCCCCTCTGCCCACGCTGGCTCTCCCGCTCCCTCTGCGCCCTGCCGCCGTCGGTAGTCCTCTCTCGCTCTCTTGCTCGTCTCTCAGGCTCCCTGCCCCTCGGCGGGTGCTTCCCGCTGGCCTCCAGGTGCCCTCGCTAAGGACCCCACTCAAGCAGACGCAGCCAGGCCAGGCCAGCAGCCTGCTGCCCGCGGGAGGGGCCTGAGAGACGCCTGCGTGACCCCATCGCCGCCCCCCCCTCGGACAGCCCGTGGCCGCCCCGGTGTCCCCCCAGGCCTCCCGAGCAGCCTCAGAACCGAACTCCTGCTGGACAGGAAAGCCCGCCGCCACTCCTGTGTGAAGGCCCAACAGCCAGAATGGGGGGGCCTGCCCCTGGAGAGCCGGAGGGCTAACTTGGGGGGGCTCGGGGCACCCGGAAGCGCCCTGGAAGAGAAAGCGCAGACACAGACGCCGAGTCCCGCCCGGCGGTACCTGAGACGGCCACGCAGTGGTCCAGGCCTGGGGCCCACGTCACCCGCAGCAGCTCCGGGTCAGGGCTGGGTGTGGACACAGGGCACTGGCGTGCGCTCACGGGACGGCAGAGGTCCCGGGGGTCCAGAAGACAGAGCTGCCCGTCTGAGCGAAGGCCGGCGATGCTGGGTCCGGGGCCCGGGGCCTTGCCCCTGACCTCTGCACACCACCGCCCCCCGCCAGGCCCGGCGGTCTCTGACGGCGCCCACTTCTGCCGGGTGTCCACCAGCCCCAGCCGGCCCGAGGCGCAGCAGAAGGCAAAGGTGTCTGCGTCCAGGGCCTGCAGGCTACTGAGCTCCTCGCTGTCGCCGACACCTGGGGGACGGAGGGAGGGAGAGAAAAGCTGCGGGAGCCGCACGGGTCTGGCGATGTGGCGGGGCCGGCCGGCCGGACATGAGTCCCCTCCTCTGGGACGCGTCCCCCGTCCCAGGCAGAACGAGCCACGTCCCCCCCTCCTGTGCACCCCGCCACTGTGCTCAGCCAGGTGGGTGCCGGCCCCGCACGGCCTCCTCCAATCCCGGAACGGGAGCCCCTGAAGCCAGAGCTCGACTCTCATTCATCCTGGGTCCCCAGCCCCGTGGCCGGAGGGGCCGGCAAGGGGCACGCTGCGGCCGCACCTGAGGCGTACGTGGTCTTCTGGGACTCCAGGTCCACGGCCTTCAGATCGCTGAGCCGCGCCCCGTGCAGGACTGCGGGGGCCGCTGACGGGAAGACGGAGACCCGAGGCCAGAGACTCCCCTCGCTCTCAGGCACAGCAATGGTGCTGACGGCTCTGATGACATCTAGGGGGAAGGGGAGGCGGTGAAAGCCCACAGTGCTGACGCAGGCCGGCATCACCACACCGATACAGCCAGCCAGCCTTCCCCGCACATCTGAAGGTCAGGGGAGAAGGGGAACTGACAGCTGGCAAGAGACGATGTGGAGACACGAACTCTGAGTTGTGTTCACATTTTGAAACTGTCAGAAGAGAAGCACTACAATTCCTTCGTAATTTGTCTTATAAACTGTTTGGCAAATGGGTGATAATGAATCACAGCCACCGTCTTCCGAGCCCCAAAAGCAGTTCTGGCTGTTTACAGCTTGGCGGAGTACAAACAAGAGAAGAGAAAGGGCAGACGACACGGACAGCGTCGCTTACACCCTGAGTGAAAGCACAGGCACGGGGCGTGTGGACCCACACAAGTTCTCCCAAGACACACTCTGCGACCTCAGGGCTCCGCCGAAGCCTTGCAGGCGAAGGTTACGGTGCACGTGTCCTCGTCCTCAAACACAGACTGGACAAGAAAGCCCGTGTCCTTTTCACACTGAACAAGAGGCAGACACGTGACCTCAAGCTGAATCAAGCTTCAGTTGTCCTTGTCCGCCTCGGCTGCCAGGGGGCAGGCAGGCTCTGCGTCTGCACCTGCACCTGCAGCTGAGGCCTCCCGAACAGAAGCCGTTCACAACCCCGCTCGGAACAAGGTGGCTGCTGTCCGAACCGCTCGCTTGGAGACGTCTATGCTGCTGCTCCCGGAGGGCGCCCATTATTTGCTTCCCACACTCTCCGGAAAAGGGAGACTGTGCATCTCCCTCCATTCCAGAGGCCAGGTGAGCCGGGGCGTGCCCAGAAGGGATGCAGAAGGAGCACTGGCAGGACCGGGGCAGCAGGCTCACAAGCACGGAGTGCACGGTGGGGAGGGGCCGCCTGGGCTGAGCGAGAGTGCCCGGGCCCTTGGGCCTTGCTGCTCCCCAGGCCCGCAGGCCCTCAGCACAGAGTCGCGAACCCGCTCCCGCCACAGCAGCCTCAGAGGGTCGGGCAGACACAGCAGCTGAGCCTCGGGACCGGAGTCTGTCTCCGGGGAGGGCCAGTGAGGCTGTGACTCAAACCAGCCCCGGCAGGGCTTCCCGACTCCCCGAGGCCACACCGAAGCAACGCAGCTCCCTCCCTCCCACCCCCTCTGAGGGGCCTGCAGCAGATCCCCCAGGACCGGCTGCTCTGAGGCTGCTCTGAGAAGGGGCCTGGTCCCAGAGGCGACCTGTCCCTGACGGGGGAAGGGGGGGGGGCCCAGGGGAAGGCTTCAAAGACGGATTTCAAAGTCACAGTGGAAAACACGGGCCTCGGGGCTGAGAGCTGCTCTGCGATCAGCGCTGAAGAGAAGTGCGGGCTCCCTCCTCCTCTCGCCCTCGTCACCGGCAACACGCCCCCTCCGGGCAAATCCACGGCGCGGCTCCAAAGCAGCCCCACGCCGCACAGTGAGACCACCGGTCAGAGCAAGACACAGGCAGGCAGCCCCGAGGCCTCGGCGCTGAAACAAAAGAAGGCTGTGTCTGAAGACGCGACCGACACAGAACAGCTGGGCGCAGAGCCGGGCACCCTGCAGGAGTCGGGACGGCCGGACCCGTGTCACTGAGCGCGCGCGCATGTACGTACGCACGCCCCAGAAGCCGTATCCCTGACAAGGGCGGATCAGCCGAGGAGTCCAAGAAGACGCTGAGGCCTGCCCAGGGCAGAGGGAGCCGCGCCAGACTGAAGACTTCAGTTCAGAGGGGAAGCGGCAGCCGAGAGGAGGGGGAGGAGGCCTCCGGCCCTGCCAGGGGCTGGGACAGCGGGGGGAGGCCCGGGCAGCGCGGCCTCCGCAAGGCTCGCACTTTCCGCCTGAGGCAGCTGTGAAAACACGGCCTGGGCACCTCTGCGCCCATGCCTGCCGCTGTGGCGCACGTGCCTCACGCAGCCTTGGGTCAGGTCAGGTCTTCCACGGGCAAAGGACGGGACCTGAAACACCCCTCCGCTAGGGGCACTTGTGTCTTCGCCATAAAGTAACGAACTCCCACTCCGGTGTGCACGCAGCCCCGTGCGTCTGACGAGTGCGCCTGCCCCGTGCGCAGGCCAGATCTGTTCCAGACGTGCTGACAAAACCCGGGTTTCAGACACGGAAGCTGTGGCTCAGAACTGGACCTTGGAAAAGCCTCCAAAATAATACCCTGCTTTTAGGTTTCTAGGAAAACAGCCGGCCAGCTTTCCCCAGGCTCTAGAACATTCTGCACTGATACCTGGGGAAGACGCCTGTTTATGTGATCTCCTGCTCTCACCGGAGTATCGGAGCCAGCCGCCTGGGGGGGCCGCAGGTCGTGCAGGGGGGCAGCCTGGCACCGCAGCCCCGCGTGCACCCAGGCAGCAGCGAGGTGCCTCCAGGCGGAAGGCAAGATCCCCCCTCCCCTCCCCTCCCCTCCGAACCGCTAGGCACCGCACAGCCCACTTGTGGGCAGACTACGAGTTACTGGCGTGAGGACAGACGTGAAGATCAATGGAACAGAATGGACAGTCCAGAAGCGATCCCTTCCGTCAATCGATCTGCCGCGCAGGTGGACAGGAGAGTCACAGGCAGAAAGTAGGTGCAGACCCCCTTCCTCACACCGCACACAAAAGTTAACGCTAAAGAGAGCACAGACTTCAACGTGGGAGGAAAGAAATCAGAAGTTTTGTGAAAGAAAACAGGGGAAACTTTGAGTCAGGTAAAGATTTCTATACATGTTTTTTCTTATCCTCTTTTCTTAGATAAGTCCCTTTAAATTTCATAAAATAAGGGCTTGGTGATGATGAACTCCTTTAACTTGACCTTATCTGAGAAGCACTTTATCTGCCCTTCCATTCTAAATGAGAGCTTTGCTGGACAGAGTCATCTGGGATGTAGATCCTTGTGATAACTGTAATAGCATAATCAATAAAGTATATTAAAAAAAAAGATTTCTTAGCTCTGTCACGAGAAGTGCAGTCCCTCACAGTCAACAGTGACAAATCAGACCTCTCGGCGGACAAATCCCCAGGACGTCGCCCAGCGCTCTGCGTGGGGGCGCACGGCGAACACGCGCCGGCTGGGGGAGGTGTGGCTGCTGCTGCGGATCACGGCAATTACTATCATCATTATAACTGAGCCCTTCCCTCGACAGACTGCCGCCAGCGGCCAGTTCCAGGCCGAGTGCGGGCACGGTGCACGCCGCTGGTCAGTGGGAACGCCGGCACCTCTCCCAGAGCCCACGTCTGCTGTTACTACTGCAGCAGCTGTTCCTACTGAACTGTGGTCGCCGCCCGGCATGGCTGTGAGCAGACTCCGAAGCCCGGCCTGCGTCTTGGTTCGGCTGCTGTCCTTGTGAATAGGAACCGGTGAGCCTCTCCGGGACGGACTCTGCTCTCAGACTCGGGGGGATGCACTCGGAAAGCACCCAGCCCAGTGCCTGGGGTGTGACGCGCACCCACGAGCACCCTGGGTCACGTCTCCCAGACTGCGGGTGAAGCTGAACAAGCACCCGTGAGAACGCACAAGGCAGAACATTGGGGGGCCCTTGACAGCTACTGCCTCAGCCGGGGAAAAGCAACCTCACCACAAAGATCCGAGTCGGCATTTCCCCAAAGGAAATGTGGGAACTGCTAAGCAGCACCGGAAAAGACGCTCCGCACGGCCAGTCACGAAGAAAACGCAAAGGGAGCCGCAATGGTGTACAGTCTCACACCCGTTAGGACGGAGCGATGGGGATCCTCACACCCCGCTGGTGGGAACGTAAATGACGACACCATCTCGGGAAACAGTTTGGAAGTTTCTCAGCGTATCGAACATAAACTTGCCACACGACCCGGCAACGTCACTGACTGCCCGGGAGACGGGAGGACACGCGTGCGTCCACAGAGACTGATCGGTGAACGTTCCGAGCAGCACTGTTCGCAACAGCCGGACGTCGAGCCCACCAACCGGCGGACGAGTGTGTGACACACGCGGCCCACCCAGACAGCGGAGCACCACTCGGCCATAGAGGGGACAGGCTACCGATGCACACCGTGACGGGGTGTGACAGGCGGGCCTCGAAGCACCGTGCTCCGTGAGAGAAGTCACACACAAGAGACCACGTACTGCGCGCTGCCATCGACACGAAGGGAGTTTACAGAGGCAGGAGGCGGATTGGTGGCTGCCTGGGGCGCGGCGTGGGCAGGAGATTAGCAGTAAATGGCATAATGGATCTTCCTGGAAGTTACAAAAATGTTCTAAGAGTTGATTTATAGTGACGGCTGCACGGCTTGTTAAATTTACTAAAAGTCACTGAACCGTATACCAAAAATGGGTGAATCTCAGTAAAAGTACGTAACCAACAATCACGACGACGAGAAAGTGACGCGAGCACCTGGAGGTGACACGGAAGCGACAAAAAGGAAACAGTGAAGGAAGGTGCACGGGGCGGTGACCTCCGGGCGAGGGAGCACACCAACGGCCTTTCGGCGACAGTGACTCTCGGAGAGGAGCCAGCCCCCGAGGCCAGTTTCTGGGAAGCAGCCAAGGCAGGCGGCGTGGGGACCCGCCGGCAGGCAGAGCACCCATCGCACCGGCTGGCCGACAAGGCCCTGACTGCAGGAGGGATGCCGGGGCTGGGTCGGCACTGCGGGCTCGGCACCCGCGACAGGGGACGCCGAGGGGACTCCCCTGCACTCGCAGGCGCTGCAGGAGCGGAGTGACTTCTCTGAGGGAGATGGGCTCAGCCAAGCCTCCCGCTCCCTCCCTCCATTTCCTTCCCAGAGGCTACCGTGCCGCGGAGAGGGGACCTCCGCTGCCTCCTCCCCTCCACAAGGTGAGCGCACCTGTGTGGTCATAGCTCTGTCCTAGCCGCTGCCACTGCACCTGCCTGGGGGAGAGGCAGTTCGCTACGGGCCCCGCCTGTGAGCGGGCTGCTAAGTTCCATTCCTGAAGCGAGTTACAGGAAGCTCCACCTGGGGCCTGTGTGCTATGCCGTGGCTGCTAATTCATCCCTGCCTGCATTAAAGTAGACGCTGAGTTTCAGTTCCCACCCGGCTCCGGGTCTACTTCTTACTTGGCTCAGATTAGGGGAGGGAGGTGTGTGTGACAGCCCGCACCAAGTCGAACCCACTCACCGCTGTCCTCGGCAACCTGCCACACCTGCAGGGAACAACCTGGAAGGCCACTGGTCACCAGCAACCTGTTTGGGACAGACAGGCAATCTCAGGTCAGCCAGCGGGGAGCCCACCCACACGCCCTTTCCCCTCTCCGGCCCACTCAGCTTGGGACTCCTACACGCCCACCTCAGGAAAGCTCGCTGCAGGAAGGGACTGTCCACACCAGTCACCCTCGCCGAACAGGAGGAGCAGACTCGTCCACCCTGGGGACAGGGCCACAGCCGTGGAGAGGCACGGGACTGGGCTGGGCTCCCCTGTGGCACGGGGTGTCCTGGAGAAGACACCAGCACGGAGCCCGAGCGCACAGTCCTGACCCGACTCTCAGCCTCGGCCGGCCAGGCTGTCGGCCCCCTCACATGCCAGCAGCTCCGGAGAGCCTAGGAGCAACCTTCTACTTTCTATCTGGAGCAGCTCCAGAGGTCTGTGGGTTACAGTGGTCGGAAGGTCTTCGGAGGGACCACAAAGACACCAAGCAATAGCTCCTCTGTATCCCAGTTTCTGTGCGCGTGTGCTGAGGTGGGAGGGAAGGGGAGGTGACGGAGGGAGGCGGAACGCCCGCGACATTTCTGGCCACCCCGTCCCGCAGGGAGGGTCTGGGTCACCAGCTGACCATACCTGGTGTCTGGCACGTGCTTCAGATCAAAGACGGGCCTGTCCGAAAACCCTCCGTGGCGTACCTTGAAATCTCTTTCTGGGAACAAGCCCTGCGATACAGAGCGGTGGCCAGTCAGACAGAGCCTGCTCCCCAAAGGAAGGCTGCAGGGGAGCGCCAGGTGAGGAGCCAGATCCCAGCCTGGCGGGAAGGGAAGCCAGGGGAGCCGCTCTGCTGGCAACAGATGCTTCTCCCTGCGGGGCCTCGAGGGCTGTGATTTGTCGGTGTCGGTCTCAGCCGCCCGCACGGACAGCTTCCTCGCACACCCAAACCCCCTCCCCACCTCTCCCCAGCCCCTTTCACTCTGGCACGAGTGTTACACTGCAGGCCTTCTAGGAGCAGTCACAGAGGCTTAACAGCTTCATGGCGGGGGAAGCTGGAAGTTATTTCTCCTGCCACCTCCCATTGAAAGTCAGATGGGTCTTTCTGGTAATAAAAATATAGCTACCAATTATCCAGCATTGAACGTATCAGGCACTGTGCTTAGTGCTTTATCTACTTTATCTCACTGAATTCTTACGAACACCCAATGAGACGTAGGTGCCAGAATTATCCCAATTCTAAAATGACAAAACTAAAGCACAGAGCATTTCAGCATGTTTTTGAAGATCACACAGGGTTACCCTGTGAATCTGAACCCCAGTCTGCCTACCGGGCCCATGCTCTTGGTCCCTAGACCACGGTCTCCGTGCACAGAACTGCAGGCGGGGAAAGGAAGTGGCACACGAGGGGAAAGGAAAAGCCAGCGGTGAGGCGGGAGGTAACGCAGGTCCCTCACAAAGGCCCCGTCTGGGCTCCAGCTCGAGCAGAGGAGATGGGGAGACCAACGCACTCGGCAGCACCCGCAGGAAACATCCCCCCGGGGAACGGACCGGCGGCCCTACTAGACGAGGGCGGTGATTTTACAGCAACACCAGGCAGACACTAACTCTTTCCTTCCGACTCTTCTCTTCTCTTGGCTTCTGAAACACTGACCTTTCCTGAGAGTCCTCCTACTTTAAATATTTTATTTTTTATTTTTGATCTAGAGCGAGAGAAAGCCAGGGTGGGAGGGGAAGGAGAGGGAGAAAAATATCAACTGGCTGCCGTTCACATGTGTCCTAAGGGACCAAAACAGCAACCCGGGCATGTGCCCTGATCGGGAATCGAACTGGCAACCTTTCAGTGCGAGGGAAGACGAGCCACACTGGCCCAGGCGCGCTCCAGGTTTAACATTATTCCTTCTTAGTATTCCTTGTGGGTTCCTCTTCCTCCATCCGATCCTTCTGTTTTTAACCACCTTCCCCTCTTATTTCTTATGCATTCCACATTCATTCTTGATCATCCTAAGGGTTTTAACCGCCCTCTATACCTCAATAGCGCCGTAAATCTATTTCCGATAAACTAAAAGTGACCTCTTCCTCTAGCAGCCCTCTGAAAAATCATGGGACATTCCCTAATACTCATCTCTGTGCATTTCTGCCTCCCTCTTTGGGACCGGAAGGGCAAGCTCAGGGTTTGTCTCTCCGTCTCCCTCCTTCTAGTACCCAGGACAACAGCTGGTTGACCACGGAAGGTCCATAAAGGTTTAACAGATGACTAAAAGTAGACACATATACGCAGCATTTGTATTTCAAATTACCTGGTTTTCTTTTACAGACAGTCTGAGAGGTAATGTCAGATGAAGAATTTCGTTTTTTTTCAGGCGTTCATAGCCAGCGACAAGAACTCCTGGAGAAAGAAAGAGACGGAGCTGTGACAAACTGCTAGAAAGATTCTGGACCATGGCTGGGTCCAGAAACTCCGCCAAACCCGCAGTGGGGGATGGGACAGATCCCGATCTTAGGAAGTGCCGGCAGGGCACAAAATCGCCCCGCGTGGCCAGGGGGCTCTCAGAAGAGTGGGCTGGATCCCTCGGGGCTGAGCTCCTGTGTGCCTGCTGGGCTGAGTGGGATCCCATCTCCTCACCTTTGTCACCAATCCACTCAAGGACGCGAGTGGCACCGGAGAGGTCGAATGCATGGAAATCCTGGTACCTGCACGACAGGGACACAGGGTGACGGTGCACAGCACTTCACAGCTGCTAAAGAACTCTGGCATGGTTCGGCGTTGGGGGACCCCGGCTCTGGAGTCAGCCACACCCAGGATCAAGTCGCGCTCCACATTTCTCTCCCAGTGTGACTGCAACCAGGCAGTCAGGCTTTCCCCGAGGCTAGGAGCTCCCCGAGCACCCAGACGCCCCCAAGTTCATGGGAGGAATCTGTGAGATAATCTGGGGCTCAACTCAGAGGCTGGTGCAAAATAACCGGACACATATTATTACCCTTCACAAGCACTGCTCCCACTGGCAGCTCACACCACTTGGCCCACGCGGCAATGTGCGACTTCCCAGAGGCAGAGCCGAGGCCCAGGCGGAGTCCTCCGTGCGGGGGGGCCCCCGTCCCGCCGCCTGCGCCCGCGGGGCCCAGAACAGGATTCTCTACGCGCTGCTTCTCGCGCCTGCCGGCCCAGCTGTGCCACCGAGTCCCCGGTTCCAGGACCACACGACTTACAAGCGCAAGGATTCTACCAGCCAGTCCTCCTCAAGCTCCATAGCAACTGTCACTTCCGGTACCCAACTTCCGCCTCGGAGCCTTCCTGCGCCGGAGCAGTCTTCTCGCGAGGAGTGGGCGCGGCCTGCTCGGAAGCAGGGGGCGTGGTCTCACGCCAGGGGGGCGGGACTTAGACTTGGGGGAGCGCGGGCCCCCGAGCGGCTGTGCCCTTCGCCCGCCTAGGTCCTGGGTTCTCCCGGCGAAGGCTCCGGGAAAATGACGTAGCATCAGGAATTCCTAGGATGTCAGCTCCGGGCAGGGCCTGAGGGACCTAACACCGATCTTTACGACCGGGTTATCTGAAGCCCAGTGGGCCAGGGCCAGGTAAAATACAGTACGCCTGGTAAAATTCCAATTTTAGGTAAATGAGTAATTTTATCCTAAAAGCATACCCATGCAATATTAGGCCATCTTATACGAAAAAAAACGATTATTTATTTGAAATTCTGATTTAACCAGGCGTCCTGTACTTTTTGCTCACTCTGGCAGTCCTACGGGGAGCCAGAGGAGAGGCGAGAGCGCGGCAGAGTCGGAGTCCCGCTGGGCCCCCCTCAAAGTTTGGCGAGAGGATGGAATGAATGGGATCGGCAAAGCCCCGCGTAGTGTAGGCAACTCCCTTTGATGGGCAAGCAAACATACGACTTGCCTGTAGGTGGCAGAGGCGAGCGTAGAACCAGTTGCCGGGCACCAGACCTGGCATTCGGCAGGTGTGGAGTGACCTGCTTGCGGAATGAGCGGACGGGTAGCAGTCCCGGGTCGGTGCCCGGCTGGTGCCACAGCGTGCTCTGGGTACTGGGGAGCCAACCCTTATCTCACGTGAACACCCCATCGTCCAGACCCCTTTCCCTCCCATTCCCTCAAACACGCTGGAAGGAGAGGACCAGGCGTTCTGTGTAAAGAGCAGGCTTTTTATTCACCACTTCGACAGGGAAGCAGGAAATACAGCAGGAATATACTCTGTGTCTGCACTGGCGATATTCCTGGTGACGCGGCCAGAAATCACAGTAGTGGAGTAATGGAGATTTGAGCCCAGGATTTACAGCCAGGGGAGGCCACTGCCAGGGTCCCATTCAGCACCTTCCCTGCATGGGCACAATCTAAGCCATGTGGTTGCATCTTCCTCACTAACGGCATCACTTCTGCAGCATTCGCACCAGCAGCCTCCTGTACTGAAAGGGAACACACATTGATCCGGGCGGAGGGGGCAACTGATAGGGGCATCCTGCCATTCCTGGGCGCTAGGCATCCGCAGTCCCATAGGGACAGGCTGTCATCGGAGGCAACCCCCCTCACCTCTCTTCCTGAGGAAGGGCCTGGCAGGGGTCAGGGCAGTGTTTTCTCACAGTAAGAGCCCCACCCTCACAGCCATGACAGTGAAGGGAGCTCATAGAAGACAAGCCCGCCTACAGTGACTGGCCCTCTGCCAGGGTCAGTGTTCTCACTGCCCCCCGACTCACCTCTGAAGCCCGTCCCCCAGGGCCAGGTACAGTGTCATCGGATTTTCTGGCTGGTCTGCATGTTTCAGGCCTTCAAGACCAACGGCCCCAGAGGTGACACCGTCTCCCTTCAGACTCAGCCAGCTCCAGCTCCTAGCTGACCCTTTCACCTGAGGTCCCCAGGGCGACGTGGTTCTGGGCATCGGGAGGGTCAGGAGGGTGGACTGCAGCGGGACCCTCTCCAGGGCATGCCCCTCCCTTCTTTCAAAACGCACACACCCCGCGCTCGGCGCAGCGGGCGATGCAAAGGTGAGTCAGCAGCAGGCGCTGCCAGGGAGCTCGGGCTACCCCAGCTCCCGTTCACTGGCCACTTTCTACGCACCTGGCATCACGCTAAGCACAGGACATGGTCTCATTTCAAGGGAGACGGGCGCTATGACCCCCATTTCATGGGTGAGGATGATGAGGCTTAGAGAGGTTAAAGGACATTTCTAAGCAGCTAGGTTTTCGGCCTCGCACACTGACACCCCCCGGCCACCTCCTCACTCTGCCTTCCGCACACAGTGCACACAGTGGCAGAGCGCCAGGGGAGGTGGGGGCGGGGCGGGGGAGACAGCACCGGCAGCAGGGAATGGCTAGAGACTAAGGCTGGCTTGGCTCTCGCTTTGGGGCCCTGAGCCCCACAGGCCAGTGGTTTACAACCGAGGAGGGTTTTAACTCCTGCTCCTTCCTTTCACCCGAGCCCCTCTGGCAGCGTCTGAAGCCCTTTCCGGCCGTCACAGTCCGGGGGATGGGGGACGATGCAGTAGTGGACAGGGACCAGGGATGCTGCTACGCTTCCCCCGGTGCACGGGACTGCCTCCCCAGGGAGAATTCCCCAGCCCAGAACGTGCCGAGGCTGACAGGCCTGCCCCTGGTCGCAGAGCCAGAGGGCAGACTGGGAAGGGCACCGGTCAAGGTGAACAGGGCTGGTCTCGGCTGCTGATGGACTCGTCTGCCCCCTCTGTGGGCCTCGGTGCCCCAACGTCAACCACAAGCATATCCGGGGCACCCCAAGGTGGGCACGCTGGGTGGGGGTGCACCTGGGCCGTCTGGGGAAGGTCCGGCTGCAAGACGCTGCCTTCAGACCAGGCACCTGGTGAGGGGAAAGCTTCTGCTTCTCACTCTGGGGGGGTTGCTGGGAAGGTCCCTCTCCTTTTACTATTATCATTTTCTTCCTTTTGATTTCTTCACCTGCCTTCCTTTCTTTGGAGGCCTCTCCCTTCGAGCTCTGGAGCACAGGGGGCGCCCAGAACCCCTGGATTTCTGGGGCCCATGGCTCCCAGCCGGGCAGGCAGGCCCTAAACCCAGTGCTGACGCGAGGGGCAGCCCCGGCCCCGGCTGAGGGCAGGGAGGGCCGGCTCACCTGAGTGTGCGGCGGTGGGCCGCCGGGGCCCGCGCCCAGAGCTTTCCTCAGCAGGAGGCTCCTGAGCAGACCGTGACTCAGCTGCGGCCTCTGGTCCCTCGGGGAGGTGTGGGGGGCCGTCCCCAGCAGGGGGGGGCTGGGGGGCTTCACACTCTTCTTGCCCATGAAGTGACCTAGACAGGAGGCGCCGGGGCACAAGGAAGTCAGGGAGCGAGGACCCTGCCACGGTGGGAAAGCCCCCGGTCTTGCCCGCTGTTTAGTTTCCCGGCAGGAATACGTGCCACCTCCTCCCTCCTCACCGAGGAGCCATAAGGACCCCTGGCGGGCAGCCAAGCCTGCACCTCACCTTTTCCTGAACAGCTGGAGGGGTGGAGAGGACGGCGCAGCGAGGAGCGAGGAGCGGGTGGGATGGGCCAGGGCCCGCTCGGAGACGGGGGCAGAGGGCAGAGAAGGAAGTGGGGAAGGGAGGGGGGTCTGGGAGGTGGAGGTGCAGCGAGAAGACACACGGAGGTTAGAGGAGAAGTCAGCGGGGTCTTGCTTAAATTAAGGGAAGGGCCACCGGCTGGCGGGCAGACATAGGATCCAGCCTCTCACCTCTGCTTGAAAGTGGCCGAGGGACCTCAGCCAACTCACTGCCCTGTCTGGGTCTCAAGCCGTCCATCTACTACATCAGATGAGTTACAGGGTCCCCGCCCGCCCAGTGGACCGTCTGTGGCCGAGGGGCGGCCAGAGAAGGAAAAGGGGTTGAGAGCCCGGTGGTGAGGGGCACCTGCCCAGGTCCCAAAGACTTACCGGTGGCCCAGAGGTTGCCTCGCGGGTGCACTCGGGTTTTGCTGGCCCGGCTGCGGGGCTCGGGGAGATCCCAGCTGAACGAGGCAGCGCTGGCAGCGAGCAAAGCGAAGAGCAGGATGCTGCCCAGCCGCCCGGCGCCCCGCGCCCGCAGGGCCATGGCTGTGCCCAGGCTGCGCCGCGCCGTCGCTGCGCTCCTGCTGAGCTGCGAGCCTTTCCTGCGGGGCCTGCCTTCCAGCTTTTAAACCCGCGCCCTGGGGCGGAGCCTGCCTCGGGAGCCGCCCCTGCTTTCCTTTCCGCCCCGCCCCGCCCCGCCCCGCCCCGCCAGCCCTTCCACGGGGCCCTCCACAACCCGCACACCCAGACTCCCGCACCAGTGGGCACCGCTCCCGCGGGATGTCCGGCCTTCCCCGCGCGCGCCCCCCTCTACGCCCCCCTTTGTAAGGGTAAGAGCGGGGCGAGGATGCTCCCCCAGCGTCACACCGGGTCCAAGCCCTGCAAAGACCCAGGTACTAGGGGAGCCCCTCGCTCCCTCCCTGGACTCCGGCCGACTCTGTCCGCTCCAGGCTAGCCCTCGGCACTCAGCAGAACTCACTGGGACCGGAAAGCAGAGTGAGGACGGACAAGGAGCCCCGCCCCATGGCCGCCCTGCTGGGCAGAGGCCCCGCAGCAGCTGCTGGGCCGGGGGAGGCGGACCTCTGGGCTGGGGGAGCGGGCACCGGACCGGGAGCCCGGTGCAAGCTGCGTGACACCCTGGAACCCCACGGGTCTGCAACGTGAGGCGGGAATAACCACACGGCCCTGTTTTTAATACTTTTACGTGTTTAGCAGTTTCCCGTGGTGGAAAGCAGCCGTCCTACAGCACCGCCCACTCACACTCAGCACCCCCCCCCCCCCAGGGAGCTGTCCAGGCTCCCTCGGGGAGAACCTCCGGGTCAGCGACATGCGGGCAAAGCAGCGGCGCTCCAAAAATGTTTCCTGACCACCGCAGCTCGGGGCACTCTGCCGGGCGGGCGCCGTAGGAGGGGAGACGCAAGGGGGGTCCCCTGGAGAGACGGAGGGCACGGAGCGACGGCGGGGAGCGGGGTGCGGGCCGAGCCGCGGAAGCCCCCACAGCACAGCCGTGTCGGAGCCAGCTCGCTGGACGGACCGCCGCCCCGAGGGGAAGCATGTGAGAGCAGCTGCCTCCCAGGAGCGCGGCACGCGGGACAAGGTCACCCCGCTTACGGCCCCGGCTTCCCCCCAACCGCCGTGCTTCTGTCTCCCACCCCGGCCTTTACACCTCCTCTCTGCGTTCTCATCACTGCCTAGCCGCGGTGCACAGATATAGCTCTTGCCACCTTCCCGCAACAGTCACCCCCCCCCCCGCGCGACCCCTCCCCCCCTCCGCGTCAGTCACACGCCCGCCCGTCCCGTCTTCTCGGGTCCTCGGTGCAGTGACTGCCTGACTGCCGGGAAAACACAGGGGCTGGCGCTGAGCGCGGCCCCGAGACATGTCTGCAGGGGTCTTTCTCGGCAGGCTCGCCTCTCCCTTCGTAGCTGGACACGGGCTCCAGACCGAGTCACTGGCCCCGACCCCGCACCGGGATCAGACTCCGGGCCTGCTGGGACCGCTCTGTCAGGGCCGGGGCTGCTTTCCCCACCCCACCCCCGCTCCGCTCCACCGTCCCCACTCCAAACTCCAAGTGGGTTTAGATTTCTGGGGGGGGGGGGGGCACTGAGTCTGGAGTTTCACCTCCCCTGCAGGGACCTCGGGACGCTGCTCTGAGTAGCCCAGGCCTCCTCTGACACAGCTGGGTTCACGGCTCTCACGGCGGCTCCGAGGCTGCCCCGGGTGCCCCTGGGGCCACTTTATCTGCCGGCCTCGCCCAGGAGGAAGGAGGAGCTCCGAGGACCCCGGAGAGAGCAGCAGGGCAGCCACTCCACAGCCCACTGTGAAACACCCCTCAGGAATGAGGAGCGTTCGGCACAGCAGAGAGGGTGACAGCACTTCCTAAGGGATCTCCAGGGCGTCCGAGGCTCTGGGTGTAGGACAAGGACCTCCACGGCTCCCCCAGTTCTCGGCGACGGCCGGGGAAGTCCCAAGACCCCCATCCCTCGCACGGGGAGGACCGGCAGTGAAGCACACGGCGGTGCGTGTGGAAGCTCCTCGGAGCTCACTGCTGACACCCCCAGGTTTCTACCGCATTCTCGGACATGCACAGGAAGTGAGGGGAAGATCCATAAGGTAATCCAAACGATGACTTAAGGAGGGAAGAACGCATGACAAACACTGGTAGAAGTAACATCAACAAAACATTAAAACTGCACCCTGGCCAGCTAGCTTTGTTGGTTAGAGCACTGTCCCCAGGCGCCAAGACTGCAGGTTCGACCCCGGGTCAGGGCTCGTACAAGAATCCACCAATGAGTGCACAGGTAAGTGGAACCACAAATCCACGCTTCTCTCTCTCTCTCAAAGGTTTCTGTAAAAACGCCATGGTTTTAAATCAAAGGTTGCTTAAAATAAAGGGCACGTATTATTGTTTGCTACCTTTTCACTAAATCAGAATCCATTACACGGCACACCTTTCACGACTGAGCCTTTGCTGTTCTCCCAAAGCCCACACGTGCCCCTGTGACCCCCAGCCCTGTTCGGATGCACTGAAGACCAGTACTGCGTCCCTTTCATAGAGAAGCTAACTCATGCACAAAGCAAGTTAGTTCCAGAGAAATGAAACAAATGGAGAAAACGAGAGTGCGGACTTCAAACAAACGAAAGGTACAGAGAACAAAAAGAAAAAGGGAAAGCAGAAATTTAAATCAGACTTCAATGAGCCCGGTAAAAGCAGTGACGACAAGCGCAGAGACGGCCGGTCTGAACCGGACGGCGTGGCACCAGGCTCCTGGCTGGCCTCTGGGCGCGGACGCCCTTCTGCGGGGCCGGGGGGCCGACCGGACGCATCCTGAGACGCATCTCAGGTCTTTCTCTTCGGAATAATATCAGAAAGACAGCAGACTCTTTAAGAGAGGCAGGAGGAGGATCAGGGATATTTCATACAATTTCCCCAAATCGGAAGGCACACAAAGGTATTAGCTAGAAAGTCGGAACCTTAGTCACACCTAAGGAAATATTTCAGAAGCTGAAATTGTCAGAATGCAATCTTTTAAAGAAAGGCTATCTTCACAAAAAGAAAAAATACCGACATGCAATGAGAAAGGGACGGCAATCCCCGCAGTGGCTAGGAAAGCTCAGAGGCTCCCGGCGAGGCCCCGGGGAGGCAGTGAGGCCGGGGGGAGGAGGCAGGAGGCCCAGGCCCCGCCTGAACGGTTAGCTGGGTGTTAACAGCCACATTTTCAGGGGGCACTTCAGGAACTGAAATAAATCCTCTTGAAACCTCAGAGAGCTTTACGTGCTTGGAAACCTGCCCGAGGATCTCCCTGCGTCTAGGAGATTTACTGACCTGCGCGAACCCACACAAGCACCACCCGGAGGAGACTCGGAGGAACAGTCCCCAGGGGCTTTGCTACTGTGCAGTTTATCCCGAACAAGAGCCTCGCCAGGCTTTGCAAAGGTAGGAGACGGGTTACGACCCTCAGCACCGACACTCAGCACCATGACAGGATCCAGCAACGGCCTCAAGTGCCGGCCTGTCACCCAGGAGCTGGAAGGTGCCGGGCAAATCTCCGAACTTCTGGCTTTTCTCTTTTGTAAAGTGGAGTTTATTTTGAGGACTAAGTGAAAGAAAACAACAACCTACTATAAATTCAAAAGTACTTCACAGAGCACATGACGATCCGAGGCACCCGGCGTCGTTAGCTGGGTCCTGGGAAAGGCGAGAGCGAAGCCCGCGGCGGACCCGAAGCCCCAGCGTGGGGCGCAGAGCCTCCCCGGACAGTGAGCGGCGGGGGCCCGGTGGCGGCAGGACAGCCCGCCAAGTGCCGTGGCCCAGCGCCCGTGACACGGGGCGCCGCCTGACCCGCTGGAATGCCAGCACAGCTCCTTCAACTCTTGGCCGAGTCCAAGAAACGAGTTCTACTAACAAGGTTCTCTCTCTTCCACGTGAATCAGCTGCCAGGCGGACAGCTTCGATGGAACTGAATGCCGGCCGACTGGCTCCTGTGCGTGAAGTCCGTCCTGTGTGCTCGTCCTGGGAACCGGGCGCCGGGAACCACCGCTGACCAACCCACGTGAACGGGCCAGTTGAAGGGAGGGTTCGAGACAAATGCTTCTTCACCGCGAGTAGGAGGCATTCTGGAAACACCCAGACCGGCAGAGCAAGAACCTGCCGTTTGAATGCCATATTCAGTATCATAATGTAACTGCACAGGAGAGTAAGTAGTTTTTATAGCACCGGCTTAAGAAGAAGCGAGATAAAACACTCTCAGCTGGCGAGGATAAGAGGTTGGATGTAACAGACGAGGGAGGTTTTATCAGAGGGAAGAAGAGGTAGGAGAGTTGCCGTTTCTTCAGAGAGGCCGTGAGCTGTAGAAGGTGAAGGAGCACCACGTGGCAGAAGAGCCAGCTGGGGGCTCCGGCTGACCAGGCGGCCGGCCGGTCTCCTGCAAGGCGGCTCGGCGGAAGCTGCCAGACGGGACCTGCGCTGCGGGCGCGTGCCCCGAGCCCTCGGCAGCAGGCTGACTGCACAGAGGCTACTGCTCGACGGCCCGTGGCGCCCTGGCAAGGAGGCCCCGGGGCGAGGAACTCCTCGGTCCTCGGCCTCAGTCCGCGTTGCTGTCGCTCCACCCCATCAGGCCTGTCCCACCAAGCACGGACACCACCCTGTCCCTCTTCACACGGACCCCCACGTAGGGGGCTGAGAACCAACACGCACAACGATCTTCTGGTGCATCTTATCCCCTATTTGGTTTTCCTTTTCTCTTCCCACTCACTTCGATCCCAAACTCATCAATTATTTCAGACCTCATCACCTATCTTGTGCCGGACCTTTTTTAGCCGCCCCAAATCCCCTTTGAAACAACACGAGGCAGAAACAAACCTGAAACACGCAGAGCACTGTGACGGGGACCGGGAGACGCACAGGACGCGTCAGAGGCTGGCGCCTCGGCACCTCAAGGCCGGCAGGGAGCCGGCGGGGAGCAGGACACCCCCTCCCCACCCCGCGAGGCCACAGAGGAGCGTGAGGAGAGCCTGGCAGCGCCGAGAGGGAGCGCCGTGCACTCCAGAGCGCGGTCTGTCAGGAACAAACACGCTCCTCCTCCGAGCTCCCTGGGCACCTCGCTGCTGCTGCTGCCGCCATCCCCAGGGTCCCGGGTAGAAAAGCTCTGCTTCACGTCGCCTCTGTTAAGGCGCTGACTTCCTGGCAGAGGAGGGACCTGGCCTCGCTCCTCTGTGTATCCCCAGGGCCTAGAGGCTGGCCCGGAGTCGATGCTCAGTAACCGCCTGCTGGGTGAGAAAGCGTTCAGTCGGCAGTGGGGCAGTGGGCCGGCACCCCAGGCAGAGCGGCCGGCACGAGCCAAGGCCGGGGGTCCATGCAGTGAGGCCAACGGTGAGGGTGCAAGACGGGGGATCTGCTGAGAGCTGAGGCTGGAAAGATCCTGGGTGCCTAGAATGACATTCCTGTAACATTT